TTTTGTATTTTTGCAAATATGTCATTAGATTTTTGATAGAGACTACGTTGACTCTGTAGATCATTTTGGATAATGACATTTTAACAATATTAAGTTTTCTAATCCATGAACATGGGGTGTGTTTCCACTTATCTGTGTCTTCTTTAATGTGTTTCAGTGATGTAGTTTTCATTGTACAAGTCTTTCACTGCCTTGGTTAATTTAATTCCTAAATATTTTATTCTTTTTGATACTACTGCAAATGGAATTGTTTTTGTAATTTCCTTTGCAGATTTTTCATTGTTCATATATATAGAAATGCAGCTGACTTGTGTGTTGACTTTGTATCCTGACACTGATAAATTCATTTATTAGTCCTAACAGCTTTTTTTTGGTGGGATCTTTAGGGTTTTCTACATGTAAGATCATGCTGTCTGAGAACAAAGATAATTTTACTTCTTCCTTTCCAATTTGGATGCCTTTTATTTCTTTTTGCTTAATTGCTCTGGCTAGAACTTCCAGTACTGTGTTGAGTAGAAGTGGTGAAAGCAAGCATCATCCTTGCCTGGTTCCTGTTCTTAGGGAAAAACCTTTCAGTCTTTCACCATTGAGTATGATATTTGCTGTGAGTTTTTCATATATGGCTTTTACTATGTTGAGGTAGTTTCCTTCTATTCCTATTTGTTGAGTGTTTTTATCATGAGAGAGTTTTGAATTTTGTTAAATGCTTTTTCTGCATCAGCTGAGAAAATCATGTGGGGTTCCTTCCCTTTATTTTGTTGATGTAATGTGTTACATTGAGCAGTTTTCATATGTTGAACCATTCTTGCATTCCAGGAACAAATCCTTCTTGGTCATGATGTATAATCCTTTTAATATGCTCTAGAATTCTGTTTGTTAATATTTTGTTGAGGATTTTTGCATCAGTGCATACTAGGAATATTGGTCTATAATTTTTTTTTCTTGTAGTGTCTTTGTCTGGCTTTGGTATCAGGGTAGTGTTTCCCTCATAGAATGAGTTAGGAAGTGTTCTTTTCAATTTTGGGGAAAAATTTTAGAAGGATTGATACTAGTTTTTCTTTAAATGCTTGTAGATTTCACTAGTGCAGTGATCAGGTACAAGGCTTTTCTCTTTGGGGGGGATTTTTGATTACTGATTCAATCTCCTTGCTAGTTATGTCTATTCGGATTTTCTATTTCATTGTGATTTAGTCTTGGTAAGTTTTCTGTTTCTAGGAATTTGTCTATTTCATCTAGGTTATTCCATTTTTTTTTGGCATACAGTTGTTCATAGTTCTCTCTTTAAATCGTTTTTGATTCTGTGTAATTGATAGTAATGTTCTCACCTTGATTTCTGATTTCAGTACTTTGAGTCTTCTTTTTTCTTAGTCCATTGAGCTAAAGGTTTGTCAATTTTGTTGATAGTTTTGAAGAACCAACTCTTGATTCATTGATTTTTCTCTGTTAGTGTTCTACTATTTTGTGTATCTCTGCTCTCATCTTTATTTTTTCTTTCCTTCTCCTAGATTTGGCTTTCATTTGTTCTTTTTCTAGTTCCTTAAGTTGTAAAGTTAGGTTGTGGATTTGAAATCTTTCTCATTTTTTAATGTAAGCATTTATAGCTATAAATTTCCTTCTTAGCACTGCTTTATAGTTCCAATTTCCTTCCTTTTTTGGGGGAGGGAGTTGTTACATAGTGGTTTTCTTTTGTAAGTAATACTGAAATTAGCTATAACCTATTCTCAACTCCATCTCACCTAGCATTCAGTTTAAAATATTACACTTTTACTCTTTGTACCATAACGCAATCAGGAAACATCCTACTTTTTGTGTACTCTCACTGCCCTCTCCCCATTTTTGATAATTGTACTGTGTCTATACTGTCATTACATATAGCAATTACATAGTATGTTTTCTCCCTTATTATCATTTATTCTCAGTTCTTTTAGTAAATATATCTTTAATGGTGCTTCTTAATGTGGATGTGTCTCCTGAAACATATTCTCTAGTAGATTCCTCAGGAAAGGCTCAAGGGAACAGTATTTCTTGGTTTCTTGTAGTTCAGAACAGTTTGATTGTCACCATTATACTTGGGAGTCAGTTTGCTTGCATATAAAATCCTTGGTTTACTTTGTCTTCCTTTGAGAATCTTAAAATGTTATTCCATTGTCTGTCAGCAGAAAGTATTGTCAAAGTCTGTTAACGGTCTAATTTTTGTTTTTTGTGTTAAGTGGCTTTCTCTTTCTGCCTGAATGTTCAAAAGATTTTTTTTTCTTTATTTACAGAAGACCAGTAGTTTTACTAAAATATGTCCTGGTATTGACCATTCTGGGTCAGTTTTTCTAGGCATACAGTATGCCCTTTAAATACATAGTTTCATGTATTTTGAAAATACTTCAGCAAAGTTTCTTGAATTCTAGTTTCTAGTATTTATTCTACTCCATTGATGTGATTTCCTTCTTTGAGGACTCTTGTATAAACATTTGTTGAATCTTGTTTGCCTATCTTTTCTGTTGCTTTATTGTAAATCCTCACCTTATTTTTCATTTTTTTGGTTATTACAGTTTTCATCCTATTTACCTGCTTTTAGTCTTAAAGCATTATACTTTGTTTTATCTACTCTTTAATATCTTCTAGTTAGTTTTCACTTCTGAAATGGTTTTTCTTTTTTTCTAATTCTTTCCTGAATTCTGTCACCTTATTTCTAATTCTCATTTGTTATTTCATATGTTTAATCATTTAAAAAATTTCTCTCAGTCATTTTGCATTAGTAATTTATATTTTCATCTGTTGGTGAACATATCTTTTGGGTATGTTTTCATTTTCTGTTGCAATATTATTCTGTCTCTTACTCTTTTTTCCTTAAAATAACTTCACATGTGATCTGATTACAGTCTTTTCTGTTGCTCATTTTTATATGAAATTAGTTTTCTTTAATTGGTAGGAGGGAAGTATGGGCCAGGATAGCTTTCTGTCATGGCTCTAGAGCTCTTCTGTTACTTTCATGAAATTAAACAAATATGTTATCTCATTCTTTGTGAGCTCTCTTGTCCTTCTTCCTCTTTTCCACTTTTATCTGGATCTTTTTCCTTTGCCCCTTCATTCTTGTTGTTGTCAATTTGCAATGAATCTCAGCAATTTTTTCTCAGTGTGGTCTTCATCTTGGAAGGAGGGTGTTTCTTCAGCTGATTAGTTCAGAACTGTACTGTCCAGGGGTTTCCAGTGGCTACTTAATGTTAAATTTAAGTAAGTTAAATTTAAGTAAAATTAAACATTTGATTCCTCCTTTGCATTAGTCATGTAGCAAGTGCTTAATAGTCGTACGTGGCTAGTGGCTACTATAATGAGCACTGTTGATATAGTATAACGTCATCATCATGACAGAAAGTTCTGTTAGATGGTGATGGTTTAAAGTGTGCTCACTTCTTTTCAGACTTCATTGTAGACTCTTTGCACTCACGTGCCAATTGCCATGTGCAGAAAAATCCCTGTATTTCACCTAGGCTTCTAAACTTGGCCTGCTATGCCTTTCATTGAGGATGTAATACAGTTTTGGAGTTTTTGTCCTGTTAAGTCCATCAGACGTTGTGCTTCCTTCTGCTCTCTCTGGCATAGATGCTTATGCCACACTAGTTTTGTAGCTATAAGTGGTTTGTTCCTGTTTGCTTGTATTTTGGTCTTTGTGGGGTGCCTTGTCCTCTAATTTTGTTGTGGATGTTGTGCACGGGTTTTGCTATTCTTTGCTATTTCATGGGGGGAGTATATTAGCCAGGGTTCTGTAAAGAAACAGAACCAACAGAGGGGAGAAAGAAAGATCTGAAGGCCTGAGGGCCAGGAGTGCTGAGGGCAGAACAGTGTCCCAGTTCAGTCAGGCGAAAGGCAGGAATTCTTCCTTCTGCCTTTTTTATTCTCTGCAGGCCTTCAATGGATTGGATGATGCCCACCCACATTGGAGGGAGTGCAGACTGCCTTTTGGAGTCCACTTATTTGAATGCTAATTTTGTCTGGAAACAGCCTCAGACACACCCAGAAATAATGTTTAGCCAAATATCTGTGCACTCTCTGATCCAATCTAGTTGACACATACAGAACCCTCGCAGAGAGATTTGGGGGAGATTCACAAGCTACACTGCAGGCACTGCCATCTTCTAAAATCCCCCCTTTTTTGTCTTTCAGATTCTTTTCTCTCCATAATCTTTGTAATTAACTTTATGTAATTCTGCAGCTTCTATTTTTTCCCCTCCTCTAAAACCTAAAAATGCTTCCCTTCTTTCATTTAGTATTTCTTCACTGTCAAATTAGTCACATTATTAGCTGGCAGAACAAACTTGGTCATGCTATTTGGTTTCGTTCCACCTTTAGTTGAACCATTTTAAAAATGAGGAAACTGGACTCAGGTTTGTTTTTTCACAGAGGAACCTCATCAGTGTTATCTGTTCATATTAGTAGTATCTACTATTTAAACAGTAAACTTATTCATGATCTTTTCAATACAGAATCCTACTGTTAAATAGAGTAGAGATGAAATTATTAGTAGTGCAACTTAATTCATTCTCGGATTAAAAAACTTTGGTCCCCTAAAGGATATTTTTTCCCTTGAGATTTATCTGTTTGTTATTCTTTACTCCATTAGCTATGTATCTGAGAGTGATTATCATACCTGAGTCAGTCTTATACTGTGTTTATTCCAGGCTATACAGTTGGTTCTCATTTCTGAACAATCTGCAGTTATTTGCAGTTATTGACTAAAGGTCTGAGGCATAGGTTTTCTTGGTCTATTGTTCTTTTAATGCTTGAGTTTAATGTATAAGGGAAGGGATTGTGTACATTTCATTGCAGACAGTCTCTGAAGTAATTTTTAGATACAAGGAAGTAGCTCTATTTCTGTGAGTCATCATTCTGTGTTATATAGTGCTGGGTAAAGATTTAATTTTTTAGATAGAGATTTATGACTTTTAGAAAGCTGCAAAAAGTGAAATTGTAAAGAATTTTAGATTTGCTATAATTTCTAGTATATATATTGAAATTTGGAGCTTGAGATAAAAATATAGGTAACTGTTGTTGATAAAATTTTCCTAAAATCTCATGATTTTCAATGAGAGATAGAGTTCTTTTTAGTCATTTTAAAAGTGTAAGCTGACTTTTTTTTCCCCTCAGCTCCCGATAAAAACAGGACAACAGAACACACATACCAAAGTCAGTACCGAACACAACAAGGAATGTCTTATCAATATTTCCAAATATAAGTTTTCTTTGGTTATAAGCGGCCTCACCACTATCTTAAAGAATGTTAACAATATGGTGAGTATTTGCATTACTGTTTTACGGGGGAATTTATTTTGGTTTGTTTATTGATTGAAAAATTTGGAGCAGCATATTTTGAAGTACAGTCATTTTCTGTGGACTCTGGATATAAACACTCATCTTAATTTGTGCACAGATAACCTTTTAACTTTGGTTTGAGTTTTTGATTCTTTCCCTTAGATACTTCTCTTGTTTGTAACCCTATCTACTTTTCCATTTTTCTGGAATTAGGATTTCACACAGATTTTGTCGAATATGAGTTGACCATAGTAGTCTGTTAAAATATTTCCCTTAGCTTCTCAATTGAATATTACCAGATTGTCCTAGTTCTAAGTAGATGATAAATGAAATATGACTTTGTAGTCCTAATATGTGAGATTGCTTTTGTGAAGATACTGTTTTACTTCCTTCCACCTATAACCTGTGACAGATTCTATAGTAGTTAGAGAACCCACATTGAAAGTATTCCTCAAATATCGATTTGGTCAAGTAATTTCACTGTCTGAAGCTTATAATTGCTTCTTTTTCCCCCTGTTTTATAAAGTCCGTTTACATTACTTAGACTTCAGGGTACTCCAGCTTATTTTCTCTTTGTACCTTTGAACATATTATTTCTTCTATCTTTCTCAGGTATTTCCTTCCTCTATGTCAATTCCTTTGTAAAATCTCCTTCATACTCAGTTGAAAACAGCTGATCTGAATACTTCTTGCTCTGTGTGTTTTGAGCACTTATAATGACAATTTGTATTGTTTATATTGAGCTATGAAACTGAGTTCTGTTTGTGAATTGTAAAAATCAGTACCATTTTCATAGTCATATCATCTTCAGAGTGTTTTCTTTTCGAAAAGTTGATTGGAAAATACCCCAGACTTACCAAATTGGTAAACTGGAAGTAAGGGCAATCATTTGCCTTACAAAGATATTTTCTCTTTATGGAAAAAAATTGATTTTTTGAAAAAAGCGGAACCTTTTATAAACATGTAAAAGTGATTTACAGAAATACACTGAACATTTTCTGGAGCTCTTCTGTTGCACAGTGTGTGGGGCATAGCAGTAGGATTTTGTTTATATAAATAAGTGGCCATGTTCCCAGTCAGACTGAAAATGTTTTAATATTTGGAATCTTCTTTGAAAAAACAAAAACAGTATTGGCATTCATTTAGTGCTTATTGAGTAAACTGAATTGTGGAAACCATACTCTCTTGTCAATAAATAGTGTAGTATTTGATTTAAGGATAGTGAATGCTTAAAATTCACTATAATTGGTATTACAGTATTTTGTTGCTATAAGAATTTAGGCTTTGATTATTCTGTCCATTAGAGTGTTGTTAAATGTTCAAGATTCTGCTAAAGATCTATATGTGTGTCTAAATGCTGCATATTTTTAAAGTATAAACCAGAATATCTTTTACTGTCACACTGTAGTAAATGCCAGCATTTTTGTTTGTCTTTATTTTGTGTGAGCATTAGGATAAAATCAAAAATAATAGATTTAAATCTAGTATAATCTGGGAGATAAAAATGGAAGACTATTGACTTTTTTGATCCTTAGTGCCTCACTTTTCAGATGTGCTCATTTGTAGTGGAGAGTGATAACCAACTTTTAGTGTTCTGAATATCTTTTCTTTTAGAGAATATTTGGAGAAGCTGCTGAAAAAAATTTATATCTCTCTCAGTTGATTATATTGGATACACTGGAAAAATGTCTTGCTGGGGTAAGTAAATCTGTTCTTAGATAGGCAGGTTTTGTGAATTTGGTTTTGAGAATGATCTGATATACTGAAGCATAGGTATGGACCAGGAGGACAGTCATGGATTTTTTTGCCTAAGACATATGAATATGAATTTTAGTAACAATTGGCTGGGTGGCATAGACAGGTTTTCAAGAGAAAATTATTTTCTCATCTTTTGTAAATTAAATAAATATTAAGTTTACTATAAAGTGTTAAGCTTGAGTCACATACCTTTCAGTTTCTTTAGAAAAGATTTTATGGAAAAGTTACTTTTTGAATTAATTAATTTCTCTAGTTGGTTAGGCCTGTGGCATTGCTTTGCTGTCTAAGAATATGATGTGAAAGACCAAGAGTAATCTTGTTTCCCCCATATGAATCTGATTTTAATATTTTACTTTTCCAATCTATATAAAATAGAACTTAGAAAATTAAAGCTGTAACTATTACTGATAAATCCTACCTTAAGAACACTTATTATGTAAATACGAACATGTAAAATAGATATATGGAAGAGTAATTGGATACAAAACAGTTCTTTCTCACATTTCCTCTAAATAGTTATCTCAGAGTTTTCAACCATGACTTAATTAGAATTTTTTCAAAAATATTTCTGTTGTATAAAGCATAATGTTTCTGTACTTTACCAGCTTTAATTCTCCCTGGAACTAGGTAGGAGTTTATGTAAATATAAATTTAATACCTCCATATTAAAGATTTGTCTATTCAGTATGTACTGGGGTTAACTTATTTCTTACAATCTCTCTTCCTTTGACACATCTTTTGCTTTTATTCAGAATTGCCTTTCTCTTCCATGTATTACAGTTGTTTTCTATAATAAACCTAGATGGGAAGGGACTTTGATACATGAAGACTGACTGGTTGAGAAAAGAGAGAATGGTCAGAAGTGTTAAAGGCAGGAATACGGCAGGGAGTCGGGAAGAGTAATTACATTCACAAATGATGTATCCTTAGGGAAGAGAAATATTTAATATGTAGGCCACAAAACCTAAGCATAATGTTTTAAACCCTTTTATTGACCCTTGTCCATATTCCAGAATTGTGAGACAGTGCTTATAAATTTTCTCTTCAGATTGAGGGTGAGCTAGTTCTTTTTTAGCTTTGTGTTATCTATTAGTTTGTGATGTGCTGTTGCCTTTTGTAAAATGGAGTGAAGGAACAAAAGAACTGTTTAATATTAAGGATGATGGAATTTGAAGGTGGACAATTTTTTCAATTTCTCTTGAATCAGTTCTTTGTAGTGGTCTTACTACTGTGATTGTAAATACTAATATAACAGTGACACCCATGTTTGAAGGAGGATAGGATGGTTTATTGCCTCTTCAGTTTTACAGCTTTTCTCCATTAGCGTTTGTAATTGAAAGGTAAGGAGAGGTATTTAGGAGAATAATTGCTGATATTATTGGCTCCTGTTTAATTTGATGCTCTTTGGACATAGCCTTATTGAAACTCTACTAAGTGGTCATGATATGACTTGTATAATGCATAAAATATATATTATCTTGCTCTGCTCTACTACTGAAAATGTGTAAATGGTTTCCATTAAATTTATAATTAAATAATACTATTCCTATTATTGAAATGTTTTCTAAAATTGCCTCCAGTTATTTTGTGATTTTCTCTTGATTTTCATTTTTAGATCAAAGTATATTGAGGCAGTTTAAGAAGAACTGAGCCTACAAGTACATGTTTATTATATAAGTAGTTGAAATAGCTAAATGAAAGTGAACAAATACGAGTATGATGAATAAAACAAAAATTTTGTGAGTAGAATTTGGTAGAATTTGAGGAATCAAATATTTTTGTTCTTGTATATTGAACACTTCTATAATTTTTATTTGTTTATTAATTGGAATTGGTTTCAATATCTGTATTATTTGGTTAGCCCATAAATAAGAAAGCATTGTAACTCAGATTTTGTAGGTAGTATGTTTATTTACTGTCCATACATTTCAGTGTATTTGCACCTGAAAGCCCTTGGATTGCAGTTACAGATAGGCATCTTTTGTTTGTTTGTTTTTTTGAGGGGAGAGGTAACTAGGTTTATTCATTTATTTATTTTTAGAGGAGGTACTGGGAATTGAACCTAGGACCTTGTGCATGCTAAGCAAGCACTCTACTGCTTGAGCTATACCCTCCCCCAGGATTGTGGTTATAGAGTTGAGCATAGTACACCCTTTTAGGAAAATTTTTTCTTTGTTATCATGCTTGGTATTATCAAAATTGTCATTCATATAAGGATACTAAAACTGTTCGATGAAATATTGATGTGGGACAGTGTATCTGCAGGGTAGTTTTACCCATTTGTTAATTGTAGTGATTTATTCTATGAAGTAGAGTTCTCAGTGTTACACCAAAGTTATGAAACTTGATGTCATTAACAGTGGGACCTCCTGGCATTATGTACTCCTGATGTGATGTAACTTTAGTGACTTACCTAACGTGTTTAACCTGAATCTAATCAGACCATGAGGTTTAGGTTCCAGCTTAACAGAAAAATACAGTAACTAGAACAAGTTACCTCACTAAGACATAATCAGATCAACAATATGGAACATTTTGTAAGGCAACTGGCCATTTTCTTTAAAAAAAACAGTGTTATGGGAAATAGAAATGATGTATATGGAGTGTGAAGAGGAAATAGTTTTAGAATAAAGAGACTAAAGTAATGTAATAATCATGCTGTAATCTATGAGCCTTTTTTTGGGCCTGGTTGAGTAAAACAAGCTGTGAAAGACAGGGGCAGTTGTGGAAATTTGAATACAAATTGGGTATTAGCTGGTATGAGGGAATTGTTTATTTTTTCTTGGTGTGATGATTGTATTGAAGTTGGAGAATGTCCTTATTTGTAAGAAATGCTGAAGTATGTAGAGGCGGAGTTATGATGTTCAACCGAAACAAAATGACTTGTAATGAGTAATAGCTATCTGTTTTGGTCAGTCTGCCTAAAGGTGGGTATAACTGCCTGTCCAGGAATTAATTTGGATGTTGAGACAGATGACACAATGCTCTCAATGAATATAAGTAAAGTTTATTTGCGACTCAAAATAAACTAGATATTCCCAGGAGAGGGAGGGCTTATGTAGGGATTTAATTAATGGGGGAGCAAGCAGAAATAGGGGAGCTGAGGAAGATGAATGTGGAGGCTTGGACTTTTATTGTGATTAAGAGGTAAAAAATGGAACCATCCTCTTTATTAGACTAACTGTAGGTAAATACGGCAAGCGGGATGAAATATTAACAATTGTGGAATATACGTGATGAGTATATGGGTGTTCATTATTCTATTCAATTCATATGTGTGTTTGAAATTTTTCATAACAGAAAATATTTACATTTAAATTTAAGAAAGTTTTAGAGTTACGTGATTATTTCCATTTTAGCAACCAAAGGACACAATGAGGTTAGATGAAACAATGCTGGTCAAACAGTTGCTGCCAGAAATCTGCCATTTTCTTCACACCTGTCGTGAAGGAAACCAACATGCAGCTGAACTTCGGAATTCTGCCTCTGGGGTTTTATTTTCTCTCAGTTGTAACAACTTCAATGCAGTCTTCAGTCGCATTTCTACCAGGTTAGTGTATAAATCTACATAGGACTATTGTAAGTAATAGAAATGTTACCTACATAAAAATAAACATTTGACAGGAATGAGTTTAACCTGGGCTTTTGTTGGAATTTTATGCATTGATTTCTTTAAAATTTTTATTACGTAATATTGTGATATTGGTGGGCACAATTAAATAAGTACTGTTATAAACCTGAAAGCCTAAATTTTAGGGAAAAAATCACCTAACCAGTCTTTTTTTTTTTAAACACTAGGTATGAATTTCTGGTTTAGCTTTTTCACATATTATTCCTTTAATTAAATTAGCCTATCAGATAGAATAATTGATGAGTAGTCAGAATTCTAATGATCTTTCAGTTCTGATTCTTATCACAAGATTCTCAG